TTTGAAGAACACCTGCTTGCTTCTGATGATTTCCTTTAGCTAACCAGTGATGGGAGTAACGGCATTGAAAGTAACTGTATTCCACCCCCCCATTAACCTCTTAAAACCCACCGGGTCGCCGTGGACCTTAAGTGGGGGTAATAATTCAGAATACATAAAATTCCACCGGTAAAATTATTACCAGTAGGTGGAGCCATTGCTCACAGCTCCAAGCTGACACCAACGGTTCCAATCCCACAGCTCTGGAACCGTTACAGCTAGAGGTCTGAAATTTCTGCAGTTGTGGTTGACATGGTGTAAAACACATACAGTATAATACAATAAAACCTGCTTCTTCTCAAGAATGTCTTTATTACTGCCATTCATAAAAGACTTATCATTTCAGAGAATAAAAAAAAAAACTTTGAGTCATGTTTGAACTGATGCAGGTTGGTCTGTGTTCTACTCACTCAATGTTAATGTATATATTAGGAAACCAGAGGGTGTTAGCTTTCAAATAATGTATTGCACATGTAATGTGGGCTAACAGTTCCTAAGCTAACTGCTTTTCCATTTGGGTATACAAAATAGGCGAGGATTACCCACAATGAGGTGGATGTTAGGAGGTTAAGTTCCTTTGAAATTGTTAAATATCTTGTAAGTTTTACTTTCTTGATTGTAAAATGTCTTAGAAGAGAACCATTTATCGTACACTGTTTTTTTCTACCATTTTAGTCACATAAACTCAAGTCCACAGTGATAGTGAAGGATTGCATTTGAGTCAATGAGTCGATGCAATCAGCTGGTTTTCTTTAGATAGAAAAGTTTGAATCAATCTGGCTCATAGACAGGGGCCGGTTCCCCTGTAGAACCGGCCCTGGCCCCGTTATGGCCCCTGAATGCGCTATCACGGAATCTGGACCTAATAAGCCGCCACGCTTCATGGGGAATCTTTAGAGCGGTGTGCGCTCAGGATTCTCTCAACGAGAACAAGAAAAAAGGATAGAACTTACAGATATGATTGTTTCTTGTTTGGCTCATCTTCGAGTTCTACTGTCGTTTTTACTGCAATGAAACCTGGCGTCATTGTTTTAACTTTTGCTCAATGCAGTCCACACTAGATCAGGAACTGATTAAATAATTTCCTCCATGGCATTGCTTTATCAGTGAATTAAATATAAAGTTGCTAGTTTCAAACTTAAGGATATTTGAGATTCTATCACAGTTATGCCAATTAGATATTATCCATTACGTTCTTGCATTACAGGAAAGTGATCATGACAAGAAAAAGAGACATTACGTAATTTTTCAACGCTGTTAGCACAGAAATACGTAGAGAGAGGGAGGATGAAAGAGAGAAGGAGGAGATGATTAGTGAGGAAGCTGACACATCAGAATCAGAAGCATTCAATCCTGAGAGTGAGGAAGAAGATGTAGGCTGTGAGGGAGAGAGTGAGGAGCAGAAAGGACAACCAGTGGATCCTCCATCACATCTATCCAGCTCACAGCCATCAGGTGTGTGAGTGTGGATAAAGTTCACCTGAAACACGCTGACTGACTGTTGGACTGTAAAAAGGAAAAGAAAAGCACAATTTTCTTGAAAGGAGTGTATTAGTCCTTGATTTGATCTGGTAAATAATCTTGTCTGCCAATGGAATAAGATATACTCCATTAGAAATAAGATGATGGAGAATATTTTTCGCTATTCTAAGAGCAAAACGTTTTCCCATTGGCAGATAATATTATTTACCTGTTTGAATCAAGCACAAGTACAATAATTAAAAACAATTTAGTTATGTTTTTCCAGCATGATCATAATGGATTATAATGAATAAATATGTACAATTACAAGCTAATGAATCCACTAATGATCTCAGTTACACCCTCATCTTTTCATTCATTTCTTTCCAGATATCAGTAAGTGCAGGGATGATCCACCAGTGCCTCCTAAATTAAGGATATTTCCCTCCACCGTTATAATAGTATAATCCAGAAGGGCAAAGGCTTTGGACCTCCATGCATTTGTGGACTATTTTGAACTAAACCACAAACACAGAATACTATGATTGTACTGTTTGGTATTTCCAGTGAAAGAGCATGAGAGATTACTGAAATGAAAATGTGACTGTCTCCTAAATGTTAGTGTACATGTTTATGAAGGTTTATTGTTCTTATGTGCTGTATGTGAAATATTTTGAATAGAAGTTATTTTTTATTGGTGCTCTGAATAAACAAAAAAATTGTTTAAAATTTTTTTTAATTTTTCTCATTCTTCTTTTCTGTGCCCACATGAGCCTTGGCACCGTTGGAAATGTGTCCCTAGAACCGCCCCTGGGTGAACTGTAAAGTGCCTTGAGATGACATGTGTTGTGAATTGAAGCTAAAGAAACAAACTAAATTTATATTTTTGCAAATTGGACAATGATGAGCAAAACAAAATGTGTAATTTTTATTCAAACATAATAGTTTTTGGTCTTAATCTGGTTGGAATATGTTCAACCAATTTATTATACGGCAAACCAATACAAATTAGTCACATTAGCTGAAATGCTTTTTCAGTATTATGGCAGCTTTCAAAAGTCTACGGTGGATCTTGAAACAACAACCTCAGGAGTGGAAGTAAATTTCTTACTCATAACGCCATCAATGAAAATATCAATGGTAATTGCTCATCAGAAAGCAATACTACTCGGCACTAATGTGACAACTCTAACTGGTGGCTTGTGATCATTACATTGTTTAATCTAACTAAATTAGGTTAAACCAACTTGATTGGTTGTTTTTCCAACCAATCTATTCTTAGAATCTCTCCAAATTCTATCCATCTGACTGCAACTCTGCTACAAACTCCCACATCTAGACTGTATAGTGAGGCTGTTTTGGTGCCTGTCGAAGTTCTGGACTTCATCTATTTTGGCTCCTCCCCTGAACGAATCACGCTCGACACGCGCTTCAGGGGAACGCCCCTCCATTATTCGACCTCGAAGCCTCAGCTCATTTCATAACATCTCTATTTCTTAGTGTCAGCTGACCGGATCACAGACCGTTGCATCTCAAAGAAACGGATTCATTTCTCCCACTAATGGGCTTAATGCTCAGCTACTTCCTGAACTTCTGCAGCTGCTTGTTTTCTTGTCTTTTACTTTCAAAGCTAATTAATCCAGGTGTGTTTGGTTGGTTACTGAGCTTTTCTCTCTAGCTCCTTTCTAACTTCTGCCTGCTCTCTGTTTAACGCTTCTAAGGAGACTTCTCTTCAACCGTTCTTTCCATCCGTTTTTTCCTATCTTCCTCCTCTTCTATTAATGTTAAACTGTTCTAAAACAGAGACATAACATAATTAAAAACCTAAAATTTAATATTTAAAGCAAGATTTTTGTATCACACTCCCGTTGGAGGTTGTTATTTTTTACATGAGATACTGGAGTTATTTTAGAATAATATCATCATGCATTTTATCATCATCTCACCTGATAAAATCCCAAGAATCCTAATGACCACAATATTTGTATCTACAAGCAAAAATAACGTAATAAACTAACATTTAATAGATTTAATAGGTTATCTATCACCCCATCATTCGCTTTTCCTCACTGACTCCTATTTGTTCTTGACGAACTTCCATATATCCAAACTGAGTAGTAGGAAAGCATACGTAGGCCTGGAAGTCTGTGCTCATGAATCACAACCATAAATCAGAAGAACAACTTATAACTATCTGAAAATATAACATAAAGGTCACCGATCAGTTCTGAACCATCTTTATAGGAACCCTGGAGAAGCACTGCAAGGCAAAGAGCACCGCCCTCTTCTTCATCTTTATGTTAACAGCAACACAACCAGGCATATGTTCACGCGCTCTCTCTGTAATAACAGTCTATGCGCAACATTTCCCCCTCATTCACAAAACGGTCAAATCAGAGACGGCTTTAGATGGGGACAGGCGGTCCAAAACAGGGACTGTACCACTTTTTGCTCTTTTCAGGCCAATTTTCCAGTAATGCGAGAATTTTTCGACCTGGCCGACATTAAGCCTTATAGTGTGTGGTGTAGTGTACAGGGGGTAAGGAGGGGCGATCAGCCTCTAACTACCACCTCCCAATCAGGAATCGTAAGGTCAGGAGAAAATAAACATATTTGGAATTCAGTCGGCCGTCGTAAGGTGGTCGTGGGCAAATCGCTCAGCGGGACAACAAGGATTCTTCTTCTTCCTCTCAGAGGAAGAAGCATGGCGGGGGTGCAATGAGTGAAATGTAGTTCTTTCTGTAACATTGACAGACCGTAGTAGCCACGTCTGCTCAGCCATGTCTTTGTCCAAATACGTCGTCTCTTTTTCTTTTTAGGGCTTTCAGCACAAAATTGCACAAACTGCCAAGGCAGTGCGTTTCACTCTAGTGAGCTTCATGTTCCTCTTCTACTGGTTTGGTTTCCTGAAAGACGAGTCCGTGTAGCGCCATCTCACTGCGGAGCTGAGTCCCACCTGGTTTTTAGACGTACAGTGTGAGCAGGTAGATCGCATCAGAGCGTCACAGTTTGAGAACAAACATCGGGAGCTGTGAACTTTTAAACCCTGCAGTTTCATTGTAGAGTTTGAGCTGCAGCTGATCGCAACGATTGAAAATATAGCACAGCATATCAGTTTAAGAGTGATGTAAACTGTGATTTTAAACTCATTCAGCTCTTTAGTTGCAAATTTATGCATAAAAAAAAAACTGTGAAAACATGAACCCCTGAAAGTCTGTCATCGACCAAACCTGATCTCTTTCCAGCAGGTGAACCTATGAGCCGCTGCGTTCATATCTGGCTCCAGCAGAGAGAGACAGATTGGAAAGCAGGGGTGAGGTGATCGGGTTCTGAAGAATTCCCAAACGGCCCGCCTATCAAGCCCACACCAATCAATCGCTTTTTTTAATACCCAATAAAATGAATCAGTTCCTTAAAGAAGCACACTGCCCCCTACTATACAAGAGTTTGTAACTTCACAGCCTCCCAGACTAAACTCAGTTTTCCAGTTTTCTATTGAGTAAAAATGTGAGGAGTGCTTTTCTGACATTATAAATATCTTCAGTGTCCCCCTACTGCAGATATTGATAGTAAAATCCATCCCCATCCTGACCTTTGGACCCTTTCCTGTGGTTCAGATGAATATACAACCATTTCATCAATATCTGTTCCATATTTTCTATTTCCCCAAAGACAACAAACTGTTTATCTCTTATTTCCCCTGTTAGTCTTAGACCTAGACAACTTTTGTTGTCATTTTGTACACACAGAGTGGAAACAAACCATTTTGTTTAGTGCAGCTTTCAGAACATTTCCATTCCATAAAGTGCAGCAGTGATCAAATGTAAAGATTGTGGGAGGAAAAACATGTTGCAAAAGCCTCGTTGATCTGGAAGTTCAGATTATTAGATATATATGGTGCAAATATGCCGTGTTTTGGTTTGGTGATGCAGAGTCTGACATGATTTAGAGTTTTCTCAACAGTTCATCAGTCTGATAGATTTGGGGAAGAAGCTGTTGCAGAACCTGCTGGACCTGCATTGAATAATTTATAATTTGTCCATATTCATGGGTTGAGAATTAAGGATTAGATTTATTATTTAAATAACCCTGTGACAATAGCTGTCCATCACTTCTCACTACTGTTCTGGGTGCTAATAACATTTCTGAGGAGCTTCAGCAGCAGTACCGTCGTCTCAGATATCAGATTTATAGTCCCCACTCTGCAGATATATTAGAATCTGTCCTTAAATTCCAGCCAAACCCATTTAATCAGTAACAAATTAAAAACCTTTAGATAAATCAAACATTACCGCCACATATCTGACTCTATAACCATTAAAACAACTATTTTCATTCATTTCAGACGGAACTATTCACAGACTGGATTATATTAAACTGAACTTCCAATTTTCACCACTGTTTGGCGCCATTTCCCTTTTTCCTCTTAGCATGGAGCAGTTGGCTTGCTTGGACTTGCAATGAATCATGGGATACCCGAGGCTACAGAGGATACATCGGACCCGTCATTCAAACCAGGCAAAAAGAAGGACGCATTAGTCGGCCGAATAACGAGGCGTGTTGGAATCCAAACAGACCTCTGCCTTCGGAGGACGCAGCCGCTGAATTAGAGCTCAACATATATCTATGGTCGAGTGACCGTGGATGATCGCTAGCTTTCAGCTGCATTATGGTACATTTTGAGTCCTCTACTTTTTCATCTGCTAGTTGTTCACGCACTAATTTAAAACTGCGTCACCACTATAAAACCATTAAGTCAGATGTTCCCTCGCTTCCTTTCTTGTCATGATCCAGGTCACTTTGACGCATGTGATGTCACAGAGGACATCAAAGGACAGCTTCCTGAGGAGCTGTGTTCCTGTTGTTTATGTGGGCCAGGTTCTGGTCTGGTTCTGAAGGTGAGAAAACACACAGCTGTAAAAACATTCAGAGTAACCAAACATGCACATGGAAAACAAGAGAAGAAGAATCTGTTTCATTCTGCAGGTCAAAGATGGAGGATCCTTTGATGGAGCTCCTCTGCCTCTCTGGTTTAACAGTGTGTGAGGCCCTCTAGTGGATGTTGTGGAGTATTGCAGGTTCTTGTACAGAGTTCTGGTGTTTCCTGTCACTGTGGGCTTCAGAGCACAGTAGTACACAGCAGAGTCTGTCACTGCAGCAGAGGAGATCAGCAGGTCCAGGCGTTTGTTTTCTATGTGAATCTGAAGTTTGGAAATCACCTTTGCTAGAACTGATCCTTTATCACCATGAGAGATCAGAAACTCTGGAGGTTCTCCTGGATACTGACGGTACCAGAAGAAATAATCTCCTGGTTGCAGGTTGGGATAATTATAGGACAGAGTGACAGAGCTGCCCTCTAAGCTGGAGATCTCTGTTTTAACCGCAGTCAGTCCTTCACAGCGGATTCCTGAAGAAAAAGGAGTTTTAGTTTTTGATTCAGAAACATTTCTGACATTTCAGAACAAAAACATTTGAAACATGTAGAATCTGACCTGTTAGCAGTGAGGCGACCAGCAGAGAAAGTCCATAATAGTCAGATTCTAGATGTTTCAAATGTTTTTGTTCTGAAATGTCAGAAATGTTTCTGAATCAAAAACTAAAACTCCTTTTTCTTCAGGAATCCGCTGTGAAGGACTGACTGCGGTTAAAACAGAGATCTCCAGCTTAGAGGGCAGCTCTGTCACTCTGTCCTATAATTATCCCAACCTGCAACCAGGAGATTATTTCTTCTGGTACCGTCAGTATCCAGGAGAACCTCCAGAGTTTCTGATCTCTCATGGTGATAAAGGATCAGTTCTAGCAAAGGTGATTNCCAACATTAAGCTCACCGCATCTTGTTGGGCTAGGAACAGGGCTAGGAAATCAGAAACACTAAGGTAACATTGGACACACTCTCCCCACTGGCTTGAGACAAACAATCTGGACCTGATCCATGAGGATCTCTGGATAGATCCTCATGGATCTAATCGTTTTGTTTTAGATCCTCAAAATGAGATTGCAGACATCCCAAGTCTCCCGGCAGTTCCGGGAGTGTCCCTGATATAGTTCTTAACGGATCCCCATGAGTCGGATAAATTATCCCAGATTTTACACTCTGCAAGGTGGTGTCTTTTAATGCGAGTGAGGGAGGGCAGGCAATAATTCATGCACCATGTGTGGATGAAGAGGAGGAACAGTGGCGGATCTAGACCAAATGTACCAGGGGGCCAGGAGGGGGCCAGCGTGTTTTCATGGGGGCCCAGAAATTTATGAAATAAAAAACAGGGCAAGGGATTCAAATATATTAAGAGAGCTGCATGAAGGGAAATTTCTTTTCAATTAAGTTCAATAAAAATGTTGCTTCTTATGAGGTCAATATACATTTATAATTTAGGAATTTTACATATTTTTTCACTTGATTTAAGTTAAAATAACTTTTTTCAGAGTTACTGATCAATCAATCAAAACTGATCAATTGTAAGAATTAGAGCAATTTTTTTGTATTTGTTATGAAAAAAAACATTTAGCATATGAAAACTGGGATCCTATCGCTATCACCTTATTGTGTTTGAATAATTAGAAAAACAGAATTTGTAAAGAAAAAGAATGACATAGATCCAAAGGACCTATCATTAACCGTTTCTGTTCCAGCGCATGTTATCATTAGAATTTATTTTAAGTATCATGTCTTCGGCCTGAAATGAGTTTGTGGAACTTGGGATGCATCATCAGACAGCTGTGGGGACATAGACTAAGGAACAGCTTTTTCCCGAGAGCCATCTCTTTACTGAACTCTAACCCTCACTGATGGACTCTACTCTCCTTCCTCACACCTACCACCATTTTGCTATTCTTTTTTTTACAAGACTGTAATGTTTACCTGTTACTATTGTAACAACTCTTTATATGCATCTTGCACTACTCTGAATATTGATTTGCATTGCTGACTGCCTATATTTGCACTGCTGACTGTTTATTCACAGCACCAATTGTTTACATTTACATCTGCAATAACGTACTTTAACTGTAATATGCAATTACCTTCCACTGCACTTTAATTTAGATAGCTGTCCAAACTTTATTTATTATTTTATAGTTAAACCC